GAGAGAGAGTGTGTGTGTGTGTGTGTGAGAGAGTGTGTGTCACTGAAGTGTGTTTGATGAGAATCGTCTCTGTGTGTGTTTCCGCAGCTCTCGTACGATCTGACCTGGCAGAAGCTCAAGGAGAAGTTCAGTCACTGCGGTACGCGAGTCTCATTTCTGCTACAGCGGCATTTGATTTAAAACATTACAAGCTTAAGAGTGAAGGTCTCTGTTCTTCAGGTCAGGTGATGTACGCTGAAATAAAGATGGAGAACGGCAAATCCAAAGGCTGCGGGACGGTGCGCTTCGACTCTCCTGAGAGCGCAGAGAAAGCCTGCCACATGATGAACGGAACCAAGATCAACGGACGAGAGGTTGATGTTCGTATCGACCGCAACGCTTGAGACACACACACACATCACAGAGCCCAGCTTTTGTTTTGTTTTAAAAACATCATGACTGTCATATCAGCAATCTCACCAGCTTCAGCTCCATGTCACACACACACACACACACACACTCTCTCTCTCAGACACACACACACACTCTCTTACACACACAGAGGCCAGCTTTTGTTTTGTTTTAAAAACATCATGACTGTCATATCGGCGATCTCACCAGCTTCAGCTCCATGTGTTAGAGACCACCTTTAGCTTTTTCTTTTTTGGTAACATTTTAATTTGTGGGACGTTTGTCTCTGACTACATTTTAAAAAATAAAAAGCTGGCTGTTGTAAATTCAGTCTGGGTCTCAGTTTGTCAGATCTCACACTCTTGACTATTTTTGTATTGTAAATTTTTATCGTAATATTTTGTATTCCCAAAAATTCTTCTTAGGAATATGCTTAAGACAAAACTTAAGAACTCATATTCTTAAAAATCTTTGTAAATAATTGTATATAATTTAAAATAACTTCCAAGTCTTCAAAGATGTTTGAGTTCATTACACTAGCTACATAAAGTACATAATACAACATAATTACTTTTTTATAATCAAACAAGAAAATCAGACATCTAAACCTGGGAAGAAATTTAATATTTGAGACCTTAAGAAATACTTCTCAATACTTGCACTTCATGAACTTATAATTAATCTTAGGAACTTTAATTTTTTCTTAACATTCATAAACATTTCTCGACTGCTCTTTTCCTGTTTTCTCCTTTAAGAAAAAGCTATTTCTGAAATACTCAAAAAATTAAGATAAGATTTTTTTTAAATCATTGTAAATAAAGTCACCAAGTAGTTGTTGATTAAAAGGTTACAGGTTCGTAACCGTAACCTTTATAAGATGCATCAATGAAGAAATGCCTTTCAAATTCTTAGTTCTGTACGTAATAGAAACAAAAACACTGTGCACCATGAGAGTATTTTTATTGTAATGCAATGTGTTACAGTATTAAGAAACGTGTCTGGTTGAGTTGACTGAGGTAGACATTTACCTGAACATACCGTGGAAATAAATGATGCACTGTTAGAATGATTTGGATACAATCAGTGGTTCATTACTAAACGAATTAAATTCGAACTACAAGCTCATTCTTGTTAAACAGATTCTTTCTCATTTATCACATTGGTCAAAATCCCTGAGCAATAACGTTTTGTAAAGAATCAACTCGTGCCATCATGAAAATAAACTGGGAAACCAGAAAAATGTGCTCATTACAAGACAAATTACTGAAGACGGTAACGCTGATATATATGTGACCCTGGAGCACAAAAGCAGTGTTAAGTCGCTGGGGTATATTTGTAGCAATAGCCAACAATACATTGTATGGGTGAATCTCAATTTCGAAAAATTGACACTTATGACTGGTTTTGTGCTCCAGGGTCACATGTATAACTGTTTGTTTTAGAGTCACACGTCGTACCTTCGCTGTCAAAAGTGATTGAAGCCTTGAATTGTAACTTTTTTTTTTTTCTTCAGGAAAATCAATGTAATATTTTTTTTGTTCAATAATATTTTTTTTTGATTATTATTTAGAATTTTAAGGGCTTTTTATGATACTATGCAATATTTATGCAACTTTTATGAGCTATTTTTTGCCACGGCCATTTTTGACCGCAAAGGTACCAAGTGATACTTTTTTTTATTTTAATGACCCTTTAACATCTGAATCATGTATATGATGACGCCATGATGTTTTTGTGTTCACATAGCTAATGCGACAAAACAAAAGTCACCAAGTGTCATTCTATTCCGATGAAGCGTAAAAATGTACAAAATTTACTTTTAATGACTTTTTAGACTTTTAATGATGTGATGGTAAATGACACTTTATGAAACAGATAGTTCCGGTGCTTGATTCTGATTGGCTGAGCCGCGTTCGAAGCTGTTGTAAATGACTCTACAAAGTAACACACACCTTTGTTTACGTTTGTCTGTTGCTCAGCAACCACTTTGTTGGAACCACAACTGTTTCTGAGGAGCTACATTGTTTGGTGGAAGAATACTGTTTTTATTAATATCATTACACTTTATTTACTCTGTTTTATTTTGTGAAACCAATTCACTGTAAACCACGGCTTCACGGGGATTATTGCGTTAGTTTAACATGATTGAAGAGCATAAAAGAATGTTTTATGTGAATGTGTGAATTTTTAATGTAAATGTTTCATGATACAGTGAGGTCAAAAGCATCCCTTGTTACAGAATCACTTCATGGCCCATTGTTTGACATGAACATGAGGCACTGATGCACTAAAAGCAATGCAGTGAAAAAAAACTCAACCTTTTATTTTTGTCCATAAAGTGTCCTCGCACGATGGTTCCCCAGCTGTGTATCACTGCAGTGCTCATCAGTCAGCGCAGGCGCGGATGGGATTGTTCCCGATGATCCCGAGCTCGTAGAGGATGGACAGCGTGGCGAACAGCACGTAACACACCAGAGACACCAGACCCAGCTTCCAGTCCAGCTTCCAGCCGTTGATGTGAACGGACACGAAGAGGAAGACGATGGAGAGCAGCAGCGTGCAGGACATGAAGACCAGGCCGCTGCTGTTGACCTCCACCGGAGACCCAGAGTCCACAAACACCGTCTTGATGAACCACGGCAGACCCAGACACAGCATGTCGAAGACGTTTGAGCCCACGATGTTGGACATGGCCATGTCAGCTTTACCTGCGAGAGACGAGTCACTGATCAACCGCACGCTCTGCGCTGTGTGCCGTTTGGACGCGTGAGGGTTTCTTTACCTTCGCGAGCCACCATCACGCTGGCCACGGTGTCCGGGATGCTGGTTCCCGCCGCCAGGAGCGTCATTCCCATCACTGTGTCCGGGATTCCCAGCGTCTCGCCTAAACACAGACAGCAGATCCTGCTAAGATGGCTAAAAGATTCCCTTTAATATCAGACATAACTGAGTTCAGTACATATATGTGTCCCTGCAGCACAAAACCAATCATAAGGGTTAATTTATTGAAATTGAGATTTATGCATCAGCTGAAAGCTGAATAAATACGCTTTCCATTGATGTATGGTTTGTTAGGATAGAACACTATTTGAAAATCTGGAATCTGAGGGTGCAAAAAAATCTAAATATTGAGAAAATCATCTTTAAAGTTGTTCAAATTAAGTTCTTAGCAATGCATATTACTAATCAAAAATTAGGACACATATATATCTGAAGTCATTAAAGGGACAGTTCACCCAAAAATGAAAATTCTGCCATCATTTACTCTCGTTCCAAACCTGAGTCTCTTTCTTCTGTTGAACACAAAAGAAGATATTTTGAAGAATGTTGGTAAGCAAACAGTTGACGGTAGCCACTGACTAAATTCTAAATCAGCTATAAGCAGCTTTACAAAAGATAATAGTTTATTCATTCTTTATTAATGCAATAAAATACTATATTATTTGTTCTAACTACTTTAAAGTCACCCGAACGTCCCTTATTTACTTATTTTAATTAATAGATTTATGTATTATTTATTATATTTATCTATTATTATTATGTTATTGCTACTACTATGTATTTGTTTTTAATTGTACTGTTCTTGTTTTTCGCTGGTTATCAAATTGGAGGAATTGGTTAGAGGCATTTAATATAACTAAAATTAAATAGCTGGAATATGAAAAACTAACGTGAGAATGTAAGATTGTACTGAATTTTTGCAATGTTGAGGTTAAAAATAAAATTAAAAAAATTGCATGTGTTAAATTTGCATGCTAAACCAAATGAGAAGTTATTGAGAGAGAACGGAAGCCAAACTTTGAAATGCAGATATAAAGCTAAAAATATATTTTTTTATGTTTTTGACAGAATGTGACAAAATTGTGAAATATTATTAGAATGTAAAACAGCTGTTTTCTATGTGAATATCTGTTCAAATGTAATTTATTTCTGTGATGCGCAGCTGTATTTTCAGCATCATTACTCCAGTCTTCAGTGTCACATGATCTTCAGAAATCATTCTAATATGCTGATTTATTACAGTTTTGCTGCATAATAATATAAAAACTGATACATTACCACTAAAAAGTTAATCAAGGATGCATTAAATTGATAAAAAGTGACAGTAAAGACATTTATAATGTTACAAAAGATTTCTATTTCAAATAAATGCTGTTCTTTTGAACTTTCTATTCATCTGTGAATCCTGAAAAATAAAACGTATCACAGTTTCCACAAAAATATTGTGCAGCACGACTGTTTTCAACATTGATAATAATCAGAAATGTTTCTCGAGCAGCAAATCAGCATATTAGAATGATTTCTGAAGATCATGTGACACTGAAGACTGGAGTAATGATGCTGAAAATACAGCTGCGCATCACAGAAATAAATTACCTGATACATTACCACTAAAAAGTTCATCAAGGATGCATTCATTTGATAAAAAGTGACAGTAAAGACATTTATAATGTTACAAAAGATTTCTATTTCAAATAAATGCTGTTCTTTTGAACTTTCTATTCATCTGTGAATCCTGAAAAATAAAATGCATCACAGTTTCCACAAAAATATTGTGCAGCACGACTGTTTTCAACATTGATGATAATCAGAAATGTTTCTCGAGCAGCAAATCAGCATATTAGAATGATTTCTGAAGATCATGTGACACTGAAGACTGGAGTAATGATGCTGAAAATACAGCTGCGCATCACAGAAATAAATTACAGTTTAACAGATATTCACAAAGTAAACAGTTGTTTTAAATCATAATAATATTTCACTATTTTTACAGTATTTCTGATCAAATAAATGCAGCCGTGCTGAGCAGAAGAGACTTCTTTCTGAAAGGTTAACAATCTATGAGGGGCAGGAGGTTCAGAGTGAGGTCCTCGTCCTCAGGGTTTCTCTCTCTCTCAGTACCTGCTCATTAGAGTCGCTCTAAAGCTCCGCCGGCTCTCCAGCGCTCATGTGAATCTGTGTGACCGTGTGCAGGATAATAATCCTATTATATGCAGCTGCATCACATGGTTTCTCACAGACCCCGTGGGCTTCAGCCGACCGTAATCCAGCGCGGACCGAGCGGAGAGACTCGAGTCTCCAGCATCATAATCCTTCAGGATACAGCGCTGGCATTTCAGGAATGGAGACGGAGCATGTGACCCGCTCCAAAACCCGACATCTGCAGCGCAGCTACATGATGACTGCGGCTGGGAACTAATGCAATGCGAAATGATCAATCAGACGGAACAAGACGACATACTAAAACCTGCAACACTGAATTGAAACATGACTAACATGCAGGATAAAACTACAT